TGTGAGCTTATGCCATCACTTGGCGTCCGTCGTCTGTCGTCGTCGTCGTCGTCGTCTGTCGTCGTCGTCGTCTGTTGTCGTCTGTCGTCGTCAACTATTTCAAAAATCTTCTCCTTTGAAACTACTGGGCCAAATACCTTCAAACTTTAACTAAATGTTCCTTAGGGTATTTAGTTTATAAATTGTATCCGAACTTTTGATCCATCGACAAACATGGCCGCCATGGCAACAAATAGAACATAGGGGTCAAATGCAGTTTTTGGCTTATATCTGAAAAACTAAAGCTTTTAGAGCAAATCTGACTTCGGGTAAAATTGTTCAATTGGTCAAGATCTATCAGCTCTAAAATTTTCAGACGAATCGAACAACCCATTGTTAGGTTGCTGCCACCGAATTGGTAGTTTTAACAAAATTTTTTGTTTCAGTAATGGATAATTTTTGTAATCCTATTCCTTTACTTAGAGTTCATACGATTTTGTATTAATTTTCGTCTACAATGAAAATCATCAACGTGACTATAAACGTCTAATGAAAAGAATGCCTAGTTTCACGAGAATTAAGTTGTAACTTTAGCTCTCTCGTTTATAATAGGGGTTAACCAAGAAAATAACTTGGTAATTTGGAAAAGTCGGAAAAGCAGTTATTTAATGACAAAACAAAATGAATTTGAGCTCAATAAAAAGATACAATTCGACATTTCAAACTCAGGCTTATCTATTGTATCTCAAACACAAAATGAAGTGTTACTGAGAATGCAACACATGATTTTAAATGTTAAACAGGTCGGGAACACTACCTTATATGGATATGCATAAATTAGCATACTAATGTCCTCGGAAATATAATGTTTATTTACGTATGACGCAATTTTTTTACCTGGGTTTTTGACCAATCCCCTAAATGAGTAACAATGCATGATGGACTACTACGTGTTTACGATCAACCGAGAACACGTGTTATTAATCGAAATACAACACATTTTTTCATGCATTGCAGGATACAAAATTTCGCTTAGATTTTTTTTATCTTTTGTGTCTACATTTATAGTCCGTTATATAAAGTATTTGTTCCATGCTCAGATTAACGAATAGTTGTTTCTATACGAACAAACGAGTGTTTGAATTACCCGAAATATAGTCATTAATATTATTGATGGTTAAACGAAGATTTCAGATATTCGTCCACAAGAGCGAAAAACACAATTACCCATAAGATGAACTTTCATTCGGATAGTTAAAATAAAGGATCCTGGAATTGTGAGTGGGTTCACCAAAAAGAGGAAGATTTAGAGTGTGTCAAATATCTGTTGAGGTCACTAAAATGACCCAGCTTTTCCCATAATTGATGTAATGATATTGACCAGACTCAAGCTAGCGAACAATAAGCCAAACTGATCACGCCTAAATACCGAAGACTTATATTAACATAAAACGTCCTTTAAAATCTGATGACAATCATCTCCAGTAGGAAGACGAAATGCTAAACATTTTCACAAAGACAAAATTGATTTTTTATTACATATATATTTAAAACAACATAGTTTTTCTAAACAGCCGAGCATCTCTTATAGGATTTTCAAAATTAATTTTAGCTACTCCTCTCCCTTTTGATTACCTTTGATTACAAACGTCTGTCTTTATAATAATGAAAAAAATAATAAAAGTAGACCATACTTATCTAGTGTAAAGATGAAATTAAATCCACATACTGACACATACTGACACATACTGACACATACCGTTTTTGGAACGTCAAGTACGGAATTTTGCATCCATAATTATAAGTTGTAGTCAAGGCTAATAAATATCCAGTGTTCGTTTTGGTACGATTGAACAATTTATTTAATACATTTCAATAGGAAATGTGTTTTTTGTGACAGTGACACACAAGTAGCACGAGATATGAATTGATGAAGATTTTTGCTAATTTAACCGACAAAATCTTCAAATCCAAAATTATTACAGCTTTTCAAAAAAGGCAAGTCCCTTGCATTGATTCGAATTAACAAAATAAGGTTGGAATAAAAAAAATACGAACTATTTCAGTTTTACATTAGAACAATAATCGGAGAACGGTTCAAACGTTGGGTATGGTTACCCGACCCCTCCCTTCTTTAATTCTTAAAAAAAGTCCACACTAGATACACATGATAGACAATTGCCTAAGGTTGTCTGAACCCAAATACCCAGGTGGGTAAAGTATCGGATCGTCCACAACTGAGGTCCAAAGTTGGGATTATGGTGACCCGACTCCCTCCCTACTTTAATTCATAAAAATTTCCTACGGCAAAGCTTTTGTCCACACTAGGTACAAATGATAGGCAATTGCCGAAGGTTGCCTGGACCCAATGATCCAGGTGGTTAAAGTTACGGATCGTCCACAACTGAGGTCCAAAGTTGGGGTACGGTGAGCCGACCCCTCCCAATCCCCTGCCTTCTTTAATTCATAAAAAAGTCCCTATGGCAAAGCTTTTGTCCACACTAGGGACAAATGATAGTCAATTGCCTAAACTTTGCCGTAGAGACTTTTTTATGAATTAAAGAAGGTAGGGGATTGAGTCACCCTACCCGAACTTTGGACCTCAGTTGTAGACGATCCGTAACTTTACCCACCTGGGTCTTTGGGTCCAGGCAATCTTAGGTAGGCAATTGCCTATCATTTGTACTTAGTGTGGACAAAAGCTTTGCCGTAGGGACATTTTTATGAATTAAAGAAGGTAGGGGATTGGGTAACCCTACCCCAACTTTGGACCTCATTTGTAGACGATCCGTAACTTTACCCACCTGGGTCTTTTGGTCCAGGCAACCTTAGACCTTTGCCTATCATTTGTGATTATTTTAAAAGTTGTTATAATCTTGGATTCAAAAACATTTTCGTTTAGATTAACCAAAATCTTTAAGTCAATTCATTTCTCTTTCTATTTGTGTGTCACTCTTACACTAATCACTCTTCCTATCGAAATATGATAAATAAATTACCGGTTTAACGACATACCTTTGAATAATTTAAAAAGTTACTAGTTCTTTGTCAAAAGAAGAAAACTGCGTATAGTTATCAGCTTTTATTTCAACTGAAATTCTGACAAAAATTTCTTGACGTTCCAAAATCAATCTGTTTTTTCTCTTTCCTTTTCAAACGCATATATATAAGCTAGAAGATTTATTTTTATCGTTACACTAGTTTAGTATGAACTATTGTTATTAATTGATTCATTATAATATATAAAGACGACAAACCCATTTAAAAAGAGAACACTAAAAAGAGAAAGGATTAGCTAAAAGGAATTTTAGATGCCCGGCTTTTAAAAAATGTTGTATTTAATAAACAAATAACTAAGTCCAATTTTGTCTTTGTGAAAATGAATTGTATTTCGTCTTCCTACTGGAAATGATTGTCATCAGATTTCAAAAGACGTTTCATGTTATTGCAAGTCTTCGGTTTTTAGGCATGATCAGATTGGCGCGTTTTCTTATCGTTCGCTGGCTTATTGTTTGCTAGCTTGATGCATCTTATTGTTGGCTGGCTTAATGTTCGCTAGCTTGAGTCTGGTTTGATATTGTACCTATTTTTATAATTTATGATTAATCAAGTCATTTAAATCGAGGAAGGATATGTATTTATTACTTTGTCTCTAAGAAACAAACGCAAAACACCTTTCAGAAAGATTTGTTTTCCATTATCTTGAAAAAGAGATATTTACTATAGAATTCTGTGTAATATTTATATAGTTATAAATTGACAGGTACAGTACATGTATAAAACCTATATCAAATATCATAATTCATCGAAACTGTTCAAGACATTTCTTAATCCTTGTCTGACAATGTCTATAAGATAAAATTGAGAATGGAAATGGGGAATGTGTCAAAGAGACAACAACCCGACCAAAGAGCAGAAAACAGCCGAAGGCCACCAATGGGTCTTCAACACAGCGAGAAAATCCCGCACCCAGAGGCGGGCTTCAGCTGGCCCCTAAACAACAATGTGCACTAGTTCAGTGAAAATGGACCTCATACTAAACTCCAAAACATATAAATGAACTTAAATTAAAATCATACACGACTAACAAAGGCCAGAGGCTCCTAACTTGGGACAGGCGCAAAAATGCGGCGGGGTTAAACATGTTTTGTGAGATCTCAACCCTCCCTCTATACCTCTAGACAATGTAGAAAAAAACAAACACACGGCAATACGCACAGTAAAACTCAGTTTAAAAGAAGTCCGAGTCCGATGTCAGAATAGATAACAAAAGAAACTAAGTAAAATGACAATGATACATAAATAAACTAAGGACTAGTAGCAGTTACTGACATGCCAGCTCCAGACCTCAATTAAAATGATTGAAAGATTATGTCTTCATCATATGAAAATCAAACACAATCCCTCCCGTAAGGGGTTTAGTATAATACCATCATAAAATATATGAGAGGAACATAACCCGTGTCATGCCAACAACTGGTTTTAAAATAAATGTGTTTATTTCCGATGCAAAATCCCTCCCAGCAGGCACACAACGTTGAACCAACGTTGAAAATATGTTGAAATTTGGTTGTAGCGTTGATCAACGTAAAATCAACGTTGTATCAACGTCAATCCTATCAACGTTTAAATCACGTTGTTGAATCAACGTTGATTTGTGGTTAGAAATATCAACGTTGAACTGTCAACGTCGAATCAACATTGAATTTAAGTTAATGCTTTCAATGCTTTAATAGGTTGAAATTATAACGTTGATAAAAGGTTTATTTAAGGTTGATGACTTTAAGTGTCGACCGAAATTTTATTCCAGATGAGATTGAATCATTTTATATATATACAACTTTGCAGGAATTATTGGGAATAAATGTTAATAATTTGGAATTCTGTTGCATGTGTATATAAATCTTCAAATTTACACGATAAGAGCGAATGAATTAACTTACGCGAAAGAGATTTTTTTTTCTAATTTGCGCATGCGTATGAGGCCGACATTTCGAATTTATTTTGCGCCAATATGATTACCACAACAAGTTAACAGTTGTTCGAAGCAGTGCAAAGTAAGTATAATTTTCATTCATTGTTTGCTTTAATAATAGTTATATGATAATTTAATGTTAACAGTATTGTAGCTGTAATTATTCGCTGTCCCCGCAAGTATGGCAAATCATTATAACCCCTTTTTTGAAGTTCACCTATTTAATCTCAAACTCGATATTTTATATGTTGATGTAATTAAAAGATTTACAACGCATGGCATTCTTGACCTTGAAATACATTTAAAACAAACAAATCATTTTCTCTGCATCAGAATAGATGTCACTCACAGCATGTATTCCGAAGATTTACTAATCATGTGAAGCAATTCGGCGGATAAGAAACACGTGTGACCATAACAAATTACAAATGTAATACACAATCTGACCAATTTCAAAGTGGTTTATTTGATACTGAGTTATGATAAAGTCGAAATAGATGCTTGTTCAATTGACCGTACTGAATTATTACAGCCCAAAAAATTCAAGGAAATAGACAATATTCCTTTAGTTTTAATATCTAAACATAACCCATATGCATGTATACGTAAAATTTAAAAAAGACGTATCACGTCGGAAAGACTTGAATTTATTGCAGTTTGAAGAAATATGTAAACAAAGGTTCAAAGTTGAACTACTGCTTGAGTATAGCAAATTAACATGCTGAAAATATTAATTGATGAAATATTTAAAAATATAATGAAATATATCAATAAAATAAATAATCCATGAATAATACTCATTTTGAATTATATGAAAGTAAATAAACTCATCATTGATACCAGGATTGAAATTTTGTATTTGCGCCAGACGCGCGTTTCGTCTACAAAAGACTCATCAGTTACGCTCGAATAAAAAAATGTTGAAAAGGTCAAATAAAGTACAAAGTTGAAGAGCATTGAGGACCAAAAATTCCTATAAGTTTTGCCAAATACAGCTAAAGCATCTTAAGGTGACCACACAAAGCTTTATCTGCCGAAACGCGTTGTTTTATGGGTTTTATACGAACAACATAGGCGGGTCCCCCCTTTTGTGGGAAAAATTTGGTTGATTATAAAGGGAATCACTGAAGCATGACTGGAGCGGGCCCCCTCTTAGGGCCAACCCTTATGAAAATTTCGGGATCCGCCACTGAACAATATGAGTGCTTGTGAGGCCTTATTTTATCTCAAGATGAGTGACTGTAAAGATCTCGGTGCTTGTGGGACATTATTGTATCTCAAGATGAGAAACTGTCAAGATCTCGGTGCTTGTGAGGCCTTATTTTATCTCAAGATGAGTGACTGTCAAGATCTCGGTGCTTGCGTTGCAATATTGTATCTCAAGATGAGTGACTGTCAAGATCTCGGTGCTTGTGGGGCATTATTGTATCTCAAGATGAGTGACTGTCAAGATCTCGGTGCTTGTGGGGCATTATTGTATCTCAAGATGAGTGACTGTCAAGATCTCGGTACTTGCGGTGCAATATTGTATCTCAAGATGAGTGACTATCAAGATCTCGGTGCTTGCGGTGCAATATTGTATCTCAAGATGAGTGACTGTCAAGATCTCGGTGCCTGTGGTGCATTATTGTTTCTCAAGATGAGTGACTGTCAAGATCTCGGTGCTTGTGGGGCATTATTGTATCTCAAGATGAGTGACTGTCAAGATCTCGGTACTTGCGGTGCAATATTGTATCTCAAGATGAGTGACTATCAAGATCTCGGTGCTTGCGGTGCAATATTGTATCTCAAGATGAGTGACTGTCAAGATCTCGGTGCCTGTGGTGCATTATTGTTTCTCAAGATGAGTGACTGTCAAGATCTCGGTGCTTGTGGTGTATTATTGTATCTCAAGATGAGAAACTGTCAAGATCTCGGTGCTTGTGAGGCCTTATTTTATCTCAAGATGAGTGACTGTCAAGATCTCGGTGCTTGCGTTGCAATATTGTATCTCAAGATGAGTGACTGTCAAGATCTCGGTGCTTGTGGGGCATTATTGTATCTCAAGATGAGTGACTGTCAAGATCTCGATGCTTGTGGGGCATTATTGTATCTCAAGATGAGTGACTGTCAAGATCTCGGTACTTGCGGTGCAATATTGTATCTCAAGATGAGTGACTATCAAGATTTCGGTGCTTGCGGTGCAATATTGTATCTCAAGATGAGTGACTGTCAAGATCTCGGTGCCTGTGGTGCATTATTGTTTCTCAAGATGAGTGACTGTCAAGATCTCGGTGCTTGTGGTATATTATTTGTTTCTTAAGATGAGTGACTGTCAAGATCTTGGTGCTTGTGGTGCATTATTGTTTTTCAAGATGAGTGACTGTCAAGATAAAATAAATTGAAATGCCATTAGCTTATTGTGAGATCTTCAAACTATGATTTAGGATTAAAATTAATTCTAAAGCCCTTGGTTCCAGAGGCGAACCTTTTGAGGGAAAAAATTGGTTGACTGTATAAGAAATCACTGAAGCATGTCTAGAGTGTGCCCCCTCTTATGCACTCAGTGGACCCCCTTATGAAAATTTCCGGATCCCCCACTGATTCGAGAATCTTGTTGGATTCTGCAGGACAAATTTCCCTTAATGCTACAATAAAAATAATTGAACTTAAAGATTTATAGTTATAGAAGGAGTTGTGACAATTTGGAAATGCTGCACTTAAAAGTGTCTTTTTTGTAGATGTCTTCACCAATAAACCCATGTCTGAAAAATACATGACGGGTAAAAAGAATAAACATGCCTTTGGTTGTTAAAGCTTTTTTGAAATAATAAGAGGTGAGTATTGAAATATATATCATTGTTTTCCACATTAAAAATTGTGTGGGATTTTGTCACAATTTCTTTTAAATGTGCTCTCGTATCATTGTCTACTAAAATCTATAGGTTTTTTGTATTAAATTTTTTTTTTATTATATCTGAACTCAAGTTTAAAAAAAGCACATGGTTGCTCTCAATAAATATTTGAAAAAAAACCAATATCATTGCACAGAGATTATTTTTTCACATATTACAGTAGTGTTCTTTATTTGAGCTGCAAAATAATATTAACCTAGTTATGATAAAGATAGTATAATATGTTTTTTTTCTGTTGCAGATGCTATAGCTACAAGTCACAAATGTGCAACATGGACAACAATGTGGAACTAGTGTGCAATATATCTAAAATACGCCCAGAGATATCGGGAATGTGTCTAGCAAAAGGACTAATATTTTAAATAAAATTAAGTATTCAGTTTGTGTTTGTTTGAAATTGTAAGATGCATATGTGAGCAACATGTTATATAATTACTGTTTTATGTCACAAACATATTTTGTGTATGAACAAACATGATCCTGTCTATTATGAAAAATGAAAGTACAAAAATGTATATAGATATAAGAAGATGTGGTATGAGTGCCAATGAGACAACTCTCCATCCAAGTCAAAATTTATGCCAACTGACACTACAATAAAGTTCAAGATTATCTATGCCTGGTAAGGTTAATAAGTTGTGCCTGTTCTTCTTGTCAAGTCTTGTATCATAAACACCAGATTCAGAAGTGAGTGGTCTCATTACCAGTATAATAATTACCAAAACAAAGGGAATGATTTATTTTCCACTTGATCAAAAAATTTAGCGAAATACAAAAAGGGAAATATTGGAACAGGCAGAAATCTCCTAAATAAAAAACTCTGCAACAGACTACATGTATATCAACCACCGACACATGACTACCACCACTTAGTACATATAGTTTTGTGAAAGTTTTATTACACATAAAATGGCACTGATGGATATAATAAGTGGTAATGATTTCAGCTATTGACAAGTGGTAATGATTTCAGCTATTGACAACCCACAATTAAACCAATGTTCAAAATCATATTCTCAACATTGACCACATTTCGAGATTCAACTTGCATTAACGTTAAGCCTAAAACAGTCTACATGGGCCCAAATCCTACCTATTTTCAACATACGCTGACCACAGTTCAACCAACACTCGACAGGTTTTCAGCATACACTGACCTCAGAACAACCAGCGTTCGACCTGATTTCAACATACAGTGACCACAGTTCAACCAACATTCAACATGTTTTCGGCATTTACTGACCACAGTTCAACCAGCATTCGACCTAATTTCAATATACACTAACCACAGTTCAACCATCATTCGACTTGTTTTCAACTTGCATTGACCAAATTTAGACCAAAATTCAACCTATTTTCAACGTTGGAAGCTGACGTTGAATCAACGTTATGTTTTCAACGTCATATCAATTTTCAATCCAACACTACTTTTCAACATTGATTCAACGTTGAAATCTGACGTTTATTCAATGTTGAATCAACGTTGCTGTGTCTGCTGGGAGCTATTAGTGAATCAATATTAATACCAAAATATGCCATCTTTAATGACCTGACAACAGTATCGTAACTATATCCCTTCTGAATAAGTCTGTTTAAAGGTTTGGTAAGCTTTTGAAGTGAATGCCGACATTTTTGTGCTTTGTAAATAATATTACCATAAAATATTGGATGTGAAATACCTGAACGTATAAGATGTCTGCATGTTGATTTATATTTATGAGTGATGACCTTGTACCGATGATAAAATTTAGTAAATGTTTTGACTAGTTTGTGATATCGAAAACCCTGGTATAATAAGTTTTCCGGAACGTCACTATCTAAAAATAAATAATGAACAATAGGAAATGAAAAATCCTCTCTTTTATAATAGATTTTGGTATTAAGCTTCCTGTTAAAGATATAGATATCAAGATCCAGGAAAGGGCAGTGCTCATTGTTAGTATTAGCTTTATTTAAAGTCAGTTCAGCAGGATAAATCTCTTTAGTGTAAATACTGAAGTCGTCATTTTAAGAGCCAATATATCATCCAAATATCTAAAAGTGTCATTAAATTTTGTACTAGTATCAGATGTTGTTTTGATGGGTCTTTGCTGATTTTAGTCATAAATTGTAACTCATAACAATACAGAAACAGGTCCGCAATAAGTGGTGCACAATTATTCCCCATTAGAATTCCGATACCTTAACGATGTACGGAATCTCCATAGCGAACAAAAATGTGATCTAGTAAAAATTAAAGGGCAGTTATAGTATCAAAGCAGGTCCAATTGACATAGTTCTTTTGTTTGTTGTTACTAAAAAATGACATAAAAGAGTTTGAACATTCGTATTCTGACTTTTTAAATGCCCATTTAATTAGGTGTGTGAATTTTTTCTTAATGAGATTATGAGGCAATGTAGTATATAGGGTAGAAAAATCAAAACTTGGAACAGATTCGATATCACCAATATAAGCATGTAATTTATCAAGTACTTCCAACGAATTTTTGACACACCAAAAGTAATTAATTCCACTATTTTCAAAGGCCTTATTTGAACAATTTATTACCAGGTTTTTGATTGTACCAAGTGTACTAGTAAGTAGAATAGACAGTTTAGTGGTGGATCAATGGCTTGAAGACGAAATAAATCTATATTTGTAAGGTGTTTTGTGCAGCTTCGGAAGCATGTACATAGGTGGAACTTTCATTGTATTTGGTTCTGCTTGTAAAGAAGTAGATAAAAGTTTATGTTTGTTACAGATGTCATTTTTCTGAAAATGTAGTCAGTTGGAATGTTGGTGAATTCGTGATTTATTTTTGCAGAACCTCAATGTAAAATTTACGTCAAACAATAATGATATTATTAACAGCCTTATCAGCCGGGACAAAAACAAATTCCTTGGCGAGTTCTTTTAGCTTATGTGTGATACGAGAAATAGGGTTATTATGGTTGTTGTTAGGAGTAAAATGTTCTTTAAAATGTTGTGTACATATATCAACTATGTTCATTACTGAATTAATAAAAGAATCTAGGGATTTCTTATCAGCTTTTTCTCGTTTTATCCATTTCGAGCAGTAAGTACGGAGTGAGTCGTGGATGATGTTACGACACTCATTCCAATTAATAATTGACGGGAAACGATATTTAGGTCCTTTACTGAGGAATGATTTCAGCTTTCGGTCACGAACGATGTTAAGGTCTCCTGTTATAACATGGGAACTGGGGCCAAATGTATTCGGAATTACTAAAATTTCATGACGTAGGTGTATTGTCGCTGATATTTACATTGAATTGATTTTATGGCATATTTCAGTTTTTCGGATTTTTTTTCTATCTCGAACTGTTCCCTTTGTTTTGAAGGTAATGAAGCAATGTTTTCTTCAATCATTACAAGAAGTTGTAGTCTTGTTTTGTTTTCGTCTTTGCAAAGTTCATTTTCTTCTACTGTAGACATTGGAATTTTTGATAATTTTTGACGGACTCGGATGTTTACGGAAGCCTATAAGGGCCATTAAAAAAAAAATAAATTATGTCGTAATTACGACATCACTATGTCGTAATTTCGACATAACATGTCGTTATAACGACATCGCTATGTCGTAATTTCGACATAACATGTCGTTATTACGACATCACTATGTCGTAATTACCACATAGTGATGTCGTAATTACGACTTGTTATGTCGAAATTACGACATAGCGATGTCGTTATAACGACATGTTATGTCGAAATTACGACATAGTGATGTCGTTATTACGACATGTTATGTCGTAATTAAGACATAAAAAAAAAATTTGAATGGCCCTTATCGGCTTCCGTAGATGTTTGCCAATCTTAATAAAATCATTTATGAATGCTATTCATGTTTTATGTGCGACAAGGATATATTTGCAATATGTTTTGTGAAAATTGCAGCGTTGGATCTAAACCTATTATATTTCTTTTTCTTTCATTTATTGGATACAAGTATTTTGTTTTTCTTTATTCTGATCGAAACATGTGCCTTTCAGATTTGAATTCCTGTATTTGTCTCGGTTGCTTAATATTTCCATTCTTCTAAGTAAGGAGTTAATGTTCTCCGTCAAAATATCAAGAGTTTCGTAATTCTTAATTACTGTTTCCCATTTCATACTGTTAGCCACACCAGATATATGATTTTTAATGTTACGATTATATTCCTCTAATATGAAATCACAACCCTGACGAGCATCGGTGTGACCACTGCGGGAAAAGGACTCGAATTTCATTTGGTATTTGACCTGGCCTCAAAATGTACCTTCTCCTTTCACTGAATAAAGGTTTACTTCCCAAAATAGAGATTTGTTAGATATTCAGATGGTATTCTGGTATTTGGATTGTAGAAAGATTTTTGTGTTCCTACCGTGGCGGAGGGGGCATTAAATTTTACTCTTGTCCGTCTGTCCCGAAATTGTACAATTGTAGCTCCATGCTCTTTCTTTTGATCATTACAGTATTTACGTTACTCAGCTGATGTACTGGCGATAACAACTCAATAAAACAAAACACCATCACTGTGAAATAATTTAATACAGCACTTATTGTTTATAGATTTATTTTAACAATTCATGATCATTTCTCTTCTTGAATTTCTATTGGAATGGCATTTTATATATATACAGGATAGAAAAAATCGAAGAGCATATATATATATATAGGCGTTCAACCATTTTGAAAGGTTTCAAAGAGCTAAAATGATTTTTATACTGGACAGTGGTCACTTCATAGGAAATTTCACTGTTTCACGTAAAATTAATATACAGGTACAATGCATAAAAATGGACAAAACCTGTTCAACTACTTTCACAAGGCGAAAAAGAAAGTCGAATCGTGTAGCCAGGAAACAATATTATTTGAATCTGAGCATCCAAATTGAATATTATGTTATATATTTTACTTTTAATACGTTGGCTGAAAAAATATTATTATGAGAGTCCCAGATAAGTTGACAGTTTTTTCACTAATTCCACGTGTTTTTAAGTGGTAGTCAACTCGTAGTAGCCCATGATGCATTGTAGTTCATTGAGTTGACTGGTCAGCTTTTCAAGACCATGTTTACCTTCGATTTGGGAAATTACAATGCAAATATATAATAACGTCATGAAATGTAGTGGTCCTGACCTGTAAAAGGTCACTAACAGTAGACATAAACCAAATGTAGACAAGAGTGCACACGCTGATTGATTTATAGGTTTTTAGTGCCACTTTCAGAAATCTTGCGCTATTTCGTGGCGGTCAGGTTTTATTAGTAGAGGAAGCCGGAGTGTCCGGAGAGAACCACCGACCTTCGGTAGGAAAACTGACAATCCTAGTCAATTAAGATTGGAGTCGAGCGCACCC